AAATGCTGGGTTAAAAAGAGACAATCCCAGCTATTGGGTTGTTTTGACCCAATAGCTGGGTTTGTCCATTTTTAACCCTATACACTCTTTTTAGAGTATACACTCTAAAAAATGCTGGGTTAAATATAACCCAGCGCTGGGTTAAAAAGGGACAACCCCGGCATTTTTTTTTAGAGTATACACTCTAAAAAATGCTGGGTTAAAAAGGGACAAACCCAGCATTTTTTTAGAGTGTACCCTCTAAAAAATGCTGAGTTAAAAAGGGACAAACCCAGCATTTTTTTAGAGTGTACCCTCTAAAAAATGCTGAGTTAAAAAGGGACAAACCCAGCATTTTTTTAGAGTGTACCCTCTAAAAAATGCTGAGTTAAAAAGGGACAAACCCAGCATTTTTTTAGAGTGTACCCTCTAAAAAATGCTGAGTTAAAAAGGGACAAACCCAGCATTTTTTTAGAGTGTACCCTCTAAAAAATGCTGAGTTAAAAAGGGACAAACCCAGCATTTTTTTAGAGTGTACCCTCTAAAAAATGCTGAGTTAAAAAGGGACAAACCCAGCATTTTTTTTTAGAGTATACACTCTACAAAATGCTGGGTTAAATATAACCCAGCGCTGGGTTATATTTAACCCAGCATTTTGTAGAGTGTATACTCTAAAAAAAAATGCCGGGGTTGTCCCTTTTTAACCCAACATTTTTTAGAGTTTACAATCAAGCAATCTGCATGTTATCAATAAATGATTTTTCCCCACCTAGATATTAAACTGGAGCCACTCCGACAAGCTTCACATACTCATTACGTGTTCATGGTTGTAGCAATAATTTTCACAACTAGGTTTTACATTTTCTGAGAGGAGAAAATAAAAAAAATGAGCAGTGCTCATCCGTGCAAAACTCTCAAGAGTGTTGTAGGTGGTTACTTGAGGTTTATGCTGAAGTGAACATCTGATGTACATCTAACACCCGCATATGAGTAATAGTGAAAGTGAAGCCTGCCTTAGCAAGACGCACTAACTATAACACTGGCGTGTAGCCTACTTATCAGATGTTATGTAGAGTCCAGATTTGTAATATTTATAATTAATCATAATTTGACTTGGGAGCCATAAAACATACACATCCCAAAATTTTGAACAAACATGGATGCTTGACTTTCAAATGTCATGGCTATGTTTTAAAAAAAATTATTTTCATTGGTTACATTTGCACTATATCACTCAAAAGTGTATTATTATTATTTAAACATATGGATAAAGTGATTAAATAAATATTGGAATTATGTAGTGGCCAAAGTGCAATGATTTTTCCTTCATCTGCACTTACTTTTTTATTTCAATAAGAAATAGAAATAAACAATTGTAACAAATTTTAGCTTTGTAAAATAATTCATATCACAATTTCTGTTTGTTTACTTTTATATATTCATAGGCTATTTGTGCGCAAAATGTATTTGCCAGAACCAAAGTTACTTATTTAACAAAGTGGAGATTTTAAATAGGTTTCTGTGACCAAGTCGGACTGCTGAGAAAACAGTAAGGTGCTATGGTTTGGTCAGCCAAGTGGTAAAAAGAAAACCGCTGCAGATTCCAACAATAATGATCAACTCAAGTTTAGTGCAAGTGTTAAAACTATGCCAATTAGTACTGTATAAATTTGAATTGCAGGATAGCGGGGGATGTGTTTGTTCAGTGAAGGAAATGTGTGGGTTTCTTTCATTGTTTTTTTTGTAAAGAATTCAAATAAGGTGAGTGCAAGTCCTTGAGGAGGTATATTTTAAAAAGGTGTGTCTTGAAACTTAAATCATGGGTTGGTTGTTCAGAGGGGGTTTTATCACTGAAACGCTGCATTCCTTTAAACCCGGAGTGAAGGACGCACACTTCTGACACAATAATGGTCACTCACATCAAGGCAAACATGGAGCAAATAACAGAGAAAGTCATTTATGATGTGAGTATTTCCGAAATCTCAACCACTTTTTTTATTTTTATGGTTAGATTTTTAATTTATGGTTAGATGTTTCCTGTGGACGGGTAGCCTAGTCATCGATGATTTAATCTGCTTCCTGTAATAAATAGAAAAACATACAATATTAAATGAATTGTACATTTTGAGAACAATAACAAAAATAATGCCATTAAATATCTTTAGAGTGTTTCTTGTGAAAAATTGTATTTGTCTTAATCACAGTTTGCTATATTATTATTATAATTATTAATTGTATTATTAATAATTAATTTCATTTGAAATACTGAAAAATTCTTCTTTTAAATGACTTCCTGTAAATGGTACAAGTGGCTATACAACTGTTTGCTGTATGCAACTTAATTGTTTCCATTTTTTGGAAATGATTAAGCAAGAATGCAAATTAGGAACAAAAAGTAATAGTAATAATCTGATTGATTTATTTTGGAGGGCGTCTGATGCAAATATTGCGGTGTCTAGAAAAAAAAAAATCCTCTGTTGTTGATCTAGCTGAAATGTGTATTTTCAGGTTTTTCCGGATGACCTTTTAAATGATTATGAAAATGTAACGGAAGGACCTTCTGATGGAGTAGTGTACATCTGCAACAATGAAAATAACCCACTGCATCTGTTTCACTCCGTGTTTCAACCTCTTGTATATAGTGTGGTCTTTTTCCTGGGCCTAACAGGAAATGGCCTCCTCCTGACCGTTCTGCTAAAACGGCGGAGGAACCTGCGCATCACAGAGATCTATCTGCTACATCTGGCACTGGCTGACCTGCTCCTCCTCTTCACTTTACCATTTGCAGTTACTCAAGGGGTAGCTGGGTGGCCTTTTGGAAACTTTCTGTGCAAGCTATTGGGCCTTGTTAATCGCCTAAATCTGGTGTGTGGGAGTCTGCTTTTGGCATGCATCAGCTTCGATCGCTACCTCGCCATTGTGCATGCCATCCCCAGTCTCCAGACCCGTCGACCTAAGACCGTTCACCTCACCTGTGCACTGCTCTGGCTCCTATGTCTATTTGTGACCATTCCCAATATGGTGTTCCTGTCTGTGAAGGAAGAGAACAACCCTACGAGGTTATCTTGTTCTTACAACAACCATGGCATCCATGCAAGCAACTGGAAGTTGACCAGCCGCTTCATCACACACCTGCTGTGCTTCTTTCTGCCTCTGTTGATCATGGGGTACTGCTACACTTCTGTAATCATCACTCTTTGCCAAAGCCAGAGAAGTCTGGAGAAACAGGGAGCAATTCGACTGGCCCTTCTGGTTACACTGGTTTTCTGCCTGTGCTGGCTACCATATAACATCACCATTTTTATGCATACCCTGGTGATGTTGGGTGCTGAGCAGAGCTGCCATTCTCGCACCACACTGGAACAGGCGATAATAGTGACAGAGAGCATTGGCTTTTCCCACTGCTGTCTGAATCCAATCTTGTATGCCTTCATTGGGGTCCGTTTTCGAAGAGACCTCCTGCAGTTGCTCGCAAAGATGAAGTGTCTGCGTGTATGCCTGTCAGGTCAGCGCACTAACAATTTGAACAGAGTATCTGTCTCAGAGGCTGTTACTACCACAACAAGTAGCCAATATATCTAATAGCAGCTCAGCATTTTTTGTACATATTTTTTTCTTTAACGCCAACCATCTTTGATTTTCAGCTTTGCCTGCACACTGAGCCAATCACTGCACATGACTAAATGCACATAATGTGAGCGCTTGAAATAATATAAATTTGAACAATCTGTTAGTCAAAGGTTGAATTTCATTAATAAGCAAATATAAGCACCATACACTCTTAAAAATAAAGGCGCTTCAAAAGGTTCTTCAAGCGATGCCATAGAAGAACCATTTTTGGTTCCACAAAGAACCATTCAGTCAAAGGTTCTTTAAAGAACCATCTCTTTCTTACCTTTTTGTAATCTGAAGAACCTTCTTTCGCCACAAAGAACCTTTTGTCAAACATAAAGGTTCTTCAGATGTTAAAGGTTCTTTATGGAACCATTTAGACAAAAAGATTCTTCTATGGCATCGTGAAGCACCTTTATTTTTAAGAGTGTACCTAAAATGCTGTAATGCTTTGCATTGTGTTTTGAATGGATTCTGTTAAATACAAGATAACAAATGGCTCTGTAACAAATATTTGGAAATAAAAAGTGATATAATCCTATCAATCTGTTTTTTTGTTTTGTTAATGTAATCATCAGCCAAAATGTCCCCTCACACACATCAAACAAGGTCAACACAAAGTCAACAGATTTTTTTTCATATTTGTTATTAGATTTCTAATAAAACACAGTATACAGAACAGTTGCAAACAAGCACAAATTGCATCTTATTTACAGCAACCATGTATATATTATATTTATATATAGATATATATATATTACCTTCCACAACAGTTTAGTAGCCAGAATGTAATTAGAACATAGAAACCCAGAGGCTTTTTTTCCTTTTGCCTTTGCAATCAAACACATTGATCTGAAATATACATATTTTACATGTATCTTAAAAAATGGCTTCAGATTTTGTTACTTAACTGTAATGATAACCCACAATAGTTTTCTTTTCACCCAGTTAACTTCAGCATCAAGAAATTATTACTAAAACCAAAGTTTTTAGCATTTGATTGCCACAGTTAGTCAGTGGCAATAAAAACATGTCCAAATGAGAAATAGCCATTAAGCAACAAAGTGTTTACAGTTTTACAGAGAAGCCAGATTAAAAGGGCATGTTGGCCATACTTCCAGGCCCGTAGCCCAATGGGCTGTCCAGTGACATGCTCCGTTGTCTAAGACTCTGGGGGCCCATCATGCCCGACTGTGAATGTGGAGGTCCCATCATAGGCCCCTGAGGGGACATAAGGGCGCCCTGCTGGCCAAAGTGCTCCCCAGGGAGAGCCATTCCCCGCTGCTTAACCTGCATCATCATTAGATTCTGCTGGGCCATAAGATTATGAGGGTGCTGCTGTGGAGACAGCATGCCACGAGGAGGGTGGGATGGGTGTTGTAAGAGGTTATTGGCCATCATGGCCTGCTGCTGCTGATGGTGATGTTGTTGTTGCTGGAGCTGCTGCTGTGGAGACATGCCTGTCCTGCCCATCATGTGCCCTGGGTGGCATATGGGCCCCATCCCACCTCCTGATCCCATGCCCCTGGAGCCAATCTGAGGCATGCCCATACCTGGACGCATCCCACAATGTGAATGTGAATGTGAAGGGTGTAGGGGCAGCTGTTGCTCAGCCATCATGTTCTGTAGGTTAGCGATATGGGGGTTGGAGGAGGGGACGTTGCTATGGGGAGGTCCAGATGAGGAGAGCTGTTTGAGAAGTTGAGCAGAAGAAGCTTGTGGAGGCAGCTGGCCCTGGTGAGGATTTTGCTGTGGCTGGGACATGGCTTCACTTTTGGGGAAGTACTGCAGGGTGCTACTGGGCTTGTCTGCAGGAATGATACGTGAAAGATCGAACTCAGGAATGCCTGTATGTGTAGGCCTGATGACCTCACTCAGGTCTGGACCATCACCCATGGGCATGGATGGAAAAGAGTCTGGTTGGTGAGGAGGCCGCTGGTGAGACATGCTTTTGCTTAGAAGGTGCATCTGTTGGGGTGGTAAGACCTCTTCAGGGCGCTGGGGGTACTGCTGCCCCATTCCACCAATAGGGGAGTGAAGAGGTCCCTGCATGCGAGGGAATCCTCCCATCTGGTTTTGGGGATGCATTGGGGAAATATTACAGGGCCCTATTCCATCTGGAAGTCCCCCTCCACCTCCCATTATTACTGAGGTCATTCCTGGCATTCCCATAGGGTTAGGGGATGGGAGCATAGGTCCAGAATGATCGTGGGATAGCTGTGGGCCTCCTTGGAGAACCATTCCCAATGGACTTTGTGGACCACTGTTAGGTCCCATTGAACCCTGCGAGGTGAGGAGCATCTGCGTCGACTGGTGATTTAACATGTTGCCTACTGAAAAAAGGTTACATGTAATGATTTAAATGAAACTTCTCTTTTAAACAAACAAAACAATTGTAAAGATCAAATAATATAACAGGGCATCAAACAATGATCTGGAGGAGAAAAAAAACTAATTTCTTATATTATCACTTTTGATGCAGTGTTAGTTCTGGATTCTAAAACAGGTGATCAAATGTACTGTAAAATCTGTACCTGACATATTGATTCCAGGAAGGAGGGGTCTATCGGGTAGCATCTCATCATCTGATGTAGCGATTGTCTTGATGGCATCATGGTAAAGCGGAGTGGAGCTAGGCATGGCATACTTTGACATCTGAGACATTATTAGGGATAAAGGATTCTGGGAGGGAGGGGCATCTGGTGAGGATGTGAAAGACATGCTAGGATTGACAGAGTTGGAAGGCTGACTGATGGGCGTTGAGTTGGAACTCCTAGGTGGCAGGGACATACCTAATATAAACATTAAAAATGACAAAGAAAAAATATGTGATTCATGTTAAAGCATAAATATAACACAAAACAGTTTCATAATAAATATGAAAGTTTTTAATATTTCAGTGAATACCAGTATCAGTACCTGTACCTTTACCTGTATCAGTGGAGCTGCTCCCTCCATTGCCTGCGACCTTGACACTAGGAGGCCCTCCAGGGCTAGGCATAGTAGTCTTGGGTGAGGCATTCCAGCCAGGTGAAGCAACAGGCATAGTTGGAGATTTAAGGTGTCCAGGGGAGCCAGATGGTGAGTGAAGACCAAGAGAAGGGCCCATTACCTGGGGGGACTTGATAGAGGTGGAAGAGGTTGTTCCAGCCCCAGAGGCTGCTGGTAGAGGAGGGTGACTTGGACCACTCTGTGGTAGTTGGCTGGGTGATTTCAGGCCTGCTGCAGAGGGTGAAGGCATGAGGGGTGATGGCTCCTGACTAAGAGAGGGCGATTTGAGCTGGTGAGATGGGGGTATAGCTGGGGAACCCATTGGGTTAACACTAATGGGCAGGTCGGAAGCGTGTCGGGCACCAAGTTCTGTACCCCTTGAGCCACTGTTCATGGGAATGTGACTAAGTCTTGAGGTGTTGCTCATGTGGGGAGGACCTGGCTGGTCTCGTCCAAACATATCAGGACCTGGCTGCTGCATATATGAGCCATCACCTTGACTACCGGGAAAGGAGCTCTGGTTGGGGAACTGAAGAGGTCCATCTGGGCCAGGGATCATCCCTTTGTTAGCACCACCCCGCCCATTCTGTGAAGCCCTAATGCGGGAGATGTCATCAGGGTTCAACATCTCCCCAAGTGATACGCCAATTCCAGGACCCCCCCTCAGCTTCTGAGCCAACAACTGCTGTCCCTGTGGATTTATATTCATGGCCATATTCATATTGAGGTTACCCCCTAAAGAAGAGTCAACTATGTCTCTCATTGTGGGGCCACCATCACTGCCTACTCCACCGATAGGAGAGCACATTATAGTCCGAGAACCAGGAAAGTCCATTGGATCTGCACGGGAGGGCAGGCCTCCTCCCATTCCAGGATTGGGGAAGCCTGGTCCCCCAGTGTTATCCATCATTCTAGGACCTCCAAGCCCTGCCTGCTGCTGCTGTCTGGACATTTGCTGCAAGTCCAATCTATGGAGTCTGCGGAACATCTCTTCCCGTGTTATGGGGCGATCCAAATCACCCTGAAAGGGCTGAGGAGGTCCCCCAGGAGGATAGCACCCATGAAATTGGCCTCCACCACCCATGTTTGGAGGGATATCGTCTAACCAAGCCATGACTGGCCTTGGAGGTCTTTGAGGCCCCAACCCCTCCATACCTAAAATTCCTCCAGGACTTTCTGGGTAACCCCCACCCCCTGAAGAACCTCGCATCTGTCCAAGAAACCTTGGCCCTCGAGGGCCTTCCTGATGCATGTCCTTCATTCGTGAATTCCCTCCCATCCCCCCCCCTACCATTGGCCCTGGCCCCCACTGTTGATCACCAGGTTTACTATGATATGGTGGTGGGGGTCCTCTCATCAGCATTGGAGGCCCCCCAGGCATGCCCATGTCAGGCATCATGCGGAAATGCTGGGGATGCTGGTGGGGGTTCATCTCATGTTGACGCCTTTTCTCCTGGTAGTACTCTTCTTGTAGCTTCCTCCAAGCTAGTTGCTCTTGTGTTACACCTTCGGGTCCCAGAAGCGGCCCCATGTCTAACCCTGATGGTGAGGAGAGGTGGTGGGAATGTGGTGGCATGCCATGGTGTGGGCCCATCAGTGAGTCATCCAAACCAGGCCCACCAAGATTCTGTGTCTGTGAGGCTCACATACTGTTATTCTATTTAAACTTAAAATTATTATTATTCTAAGAGTAACATTTCTGACTGTAATCCTCGTAGTGCTTTCAGGCTATATGCAACAAACTCGGGTCCTTCAGATTGCTCTGAATTAGGTTGCTATATGTTTTCTAACTGATAGGATTTATGGAAAAATTATCCGGACAATTTCAATATATTAATAATCCGTATTTTCAATTGCATTTTCCATATGTGGACACATAAATTGTGACATAATCCAAACGCAATTGCAAATCTTGCATTACCGTTTGCACTTTCGCATTCGTGAACGTACAGTGACTGCCAAATTTCAAATGAAAAAGCAAAGTCCATTTGCAACTGAATTTCCCCGTGTCTTAAGAGTTATGAGTATGGAATGATATTTAGGACAATATTCAAAAGGTATTGTAAATTTTATTTGCAGTTGACACAGTGACACAGAGAAAGTGAAAAAGCAGACATTGCTATTTAAATATGGCAGGCTCATAACTGGTAAGACATGGGAAAAACACAAACGGTAATCCAAGATTTGCAATTGCATTTGCATTATGTCACAATTTATGCATCCACATATGGAAAACGCAATTGAAAATACAATTTGCAATTCCTTTAGAAAATAGTCCCTAAAAATATTCCATAAAGACTTGTTTTTTCAAAAAATGATCATCAAAACTCAATAATTCTAGCTATCTATCTAGATGACATTTTTATCTAGTAGTGTATTTACTCTTTATTTTGTGACATAAATGTTAATTATCAGTTTATTTAGATTTAAACATATTCTTAACTTTTCTGCATCCTCTTTTGTTCCCAGCAGACATCAGTTTACGTAAATGAGTGAGTCAGCTCTCTCTCTCTCTCTCTCTGGTCTACTTTCTCTTTAATCATTGTCCCTTTCCAGGTGTGGCAGTCGAGTGGGTCTGAAGCGAATGACTTGCATTTCATTTGAATGGCTTTCTGTTTGCTTTTCTACCGGGTGAACGATATTTACAGAGAATGAGAGCGAGAAAGAAATTTTCCCTGATAAAAGAGCTGGATAGTGATAAAAAGGTTGTCACCAACTCATTTCTGATCCTCTCCACTCTTAAAAACCAAGATTATTGTTAACCAAAATTATAACCGAATTAAAAGTAGAATCAAGCATTCCCTCATATTTTTACAAATAAATTACATGACTTGACAGTTGTCAATCATTACTACTATTACTTGATTTAAAGACGATTTTTTTTAATAATATTTACATATTTTAATAATTTGTAATATTTACATTTTAAAAATAATTTTAAAAACTAACAAAGGTCATTACTATGTATTAGTGTACTCCAATAAATAATAAAAAGTAAAAATATATTAAAAATAAAATATTGATATGATTATATATATATAGAGAGAGAGGGAGAAAGAGAGAGACAGACAGCTTTTTTTAAGTTTTCTTTGTTTTTTTTTATTTTTACTATGTTTTATAGCTTAACATGATAATATGTATTAGTGTACTACAATAAAGTATTTTAAAACAAAAATAATCTGCCAATGGGGTCAGAAAAATGACCTTTACAAAAGGAAAATAAGTTCTTTCTTTCTTTCTTTTTCTTTTTTTATGACCCCACTGGCAGATACATTTATCAGAAAACAAGACCATATCTTCATTATGCATCTCAAGTAAATGTATCTTAAGGAAGCTTCGACATTTGTACTAGAAAAAAGGCTAAATAAACAAATACTGAGATATTCATTTTTGCAATGCATGCCACATTTTTCCCCAAAAATTTTTTGGCCTTCATTTGTGGAAAGCTGAATTAAAGTGCCCCTATTATGCCATTTTTAAGGTTCCTAATATTGTTTTAGGAGTCTCCTACAATAAGTTTACATGCATGCAAGGTCAAAAAAACAGTTTTCTCAAATTATGCATTTAATATCACCTCATTTTCCAACGATTCTTTCGAAGCAGTTCTAAGATTCAGTCTCTCTAAACCCCTCCTTTCCGTGAGCCTACTCTGCTCTGATTGGTCAGATGGCCAAGTCTGTTGTGATTGGTCTACCGCGTACAGCGCGTGTTGGAAACGATACGCCCATTGCCATAGTTCAGCTGGCCCAAATAAACTGGGGACTGAGCCATCTTTCAAGAGCAAGAGTTTTGTGAATCCCGTGTTGAACTCCCCGAGATAAGAGAAGCAGTCGTCAGTAAAATGACGGGAACACAAAAAACCACTGATTCATTGCAGTCTCATATTATCATGAGACCATCTTCTATTATGATTTAAAAACAATAAATAATAAAAAATTAAAAATAAAGATTTTATAGATGTAATATGTTAGTGTACTCCAAAAAAAAAAATGTTTAAATGTAAAAATTTCAAATATTTTTAATAATAATAATATTTTAAAAGTAACAGTTCCATTAGAATACAATTTTCAAAACACTAATTTATATATATATATATATAAAAAAGAAATTCTATTTTCGAAACTATAATAACCCCACCTTCTACCTTCCATGTGGTTATAAATCCAAACAGGTGTGAGTGTTTGTGTGAGAGCGTAAGAGTGTGTATGCACACACAAAAGAGCTTCAGTGCTATTACAGGAAGCCCAGATGACTCAGTTTCTCAAAATCAAACTATTGCCCCGTGATTTCCCCTGATCTCTCTCTCTCTCTAATAGACACACCACATACACAAAGCACCGGGCAAATGGAAATAAAATAAGAACTGCACAATGAACCAAACAAAAAGAAGCGGCACACACACAGTGAAAAGAAAAACACGCCTCTGCAATCCAGGAAGAGGAGAGCTGTTATTGCGTTTTATATTGGACAGAAGCAGTTTGGTTGAATCTCACGAGACCTGTCAGCAACACGCTCTGGTCATATTTCAAGCCAAATCAAAAAGACAGAATAAGAACTTATATTTTGCGTAGATAATATGCAATTTTTTGACAATTATGCACATTGTCACCACCTCTAGCTCTCATTATCGTAATGCAGTCGTGCAAGTCCCGTTGACTTTCACACATCAGATCTACCGCGCTGTCAGTGTAGACAGACGGCCACAATGCCAAAGAGCTCGCCATGTGTTGATATGACACATTATGCACTGCTGCATTTTATATCTAAATGTTTCCTTCCAGAATGTTCATTTTTAGAGGCATAAAACCTGGTTAACATGGACTGACACTGAATAAGAGCGGCAACTGTTACTAGGGCAACCAGAGCAAGAAACACAGACTTGCGTCTGATCAGTATAGCAACTGCTGACATGCAGCAAAAAAAAACAAAAGTCATTGGTGGTGTGAACAGGGCTGAAATGATGACAAAATGTTCATTTAGGTGAATGATTCCTTTGCTCCTGGCAAAGCTTTTTTATATTTATTAATTTATTTATTTTGGAACATTGTAAGAGCCATTTTTTTTAACTATTTAAATGATTACATTTTATGCATTATTATTTTTGCAACAATTAAATATAATAATAATAATATAGACCATACTGATAAAAAGTTGATTCACTTTCATTATTTTCAAATTTGTATTATTAACAAAAAATTGAATCATTTGTTTTTAATAGGATACATGGGAAAAATATTTGAAAATATTTTATTTCGACTTTTAAAATTGATTTTATTTAAAAGAAAATATTTTGAGAACTGTAAAGCAAGAAAATCTAATTTTCATTACGGTATAGCAAAGGAAAAACTATTATCTTCATTGTTAAAAAAATACATTAAAATCATCATAAATAAAGGCATGACAAAAATTTTTTTTTAGTACTTATATATATATATATATAGTATTTTTGTTATGCCTTTATGATTTTAATTTTTAAAAATGTGTGGTACATTTTTACTCTATATTATTTTACTCTAAATTACTATTTTACAGTAGTGAAAATGTAATGGTCAATATTAATAATAATGGGTAAAAATATAATTTAAAAAAGAATCAGAGAAAACCCAAAAGTTAAACATCCAAAGCAATTACAGTCTTGTAAATAATGTACATGTTTTTGTCAGAATTACCAAACCACATTGTGTGTGTGTGTGTGTCTCCCTCTGTCTCTCCACCTCGCTCTATTCTACTTCCTGTCTGTGCGCAGAGTCTCTCTCAACCCCCGCTCAATTAGTGAGTGACACACACAACAGGACAACCAACAGGAAAACACAAGCACTTTCGCATTTGGCGCTGTTCCAGGAGCATAACATCTGACATGATACACACATATAAGCATGCACACACATACACACGTGTGCTCAGAAAGGTCAGGGCATTTTGGGGTTGCTGAAAACAGGCAGTTTCATCTTTACTGTGTTTCCAGTTAAAAGGGGAATTCCAGAAATGTGGCCTTTTTTTGGTTGTTGATCGAGAGATACAGTGATACATGAGTAAAAGGAGTATGTGTGGTGTGGAGTTTGGTTGTCCACTACCTATTGAGTATCATACAGTGGGTATAGAAGAAAAAAAAAATCACCCCACTTTAAAATAATCACATTTTGTTGTTTTGCACCCTGAAATGAAGACGGACACAGTTTTTGTTTCATCCAGCTGTATTTACTCAGTGCAACTTATAACATCCAAGTGATAGATATAACACCAACACATCAGAAAACTAAATAAATAAATAAAAAACAATCACTGAGTTGGAAAAAGGATCACCCCCCCCTCCTAAAAATGACTTGATAAAACTCAATCTTGTAAACGCAATCAGGTGTAGCTAATCACCTTCTCAGTGGCACACAAACCATTTGACTTTCAACTGTGATCAGCTGTGGTCATTTTGATTAGCTCAGCATGAAAAGAGCTTTCCTGGAGCATTTCGGTCCTTGGTAGTGCAGCAAACAACTATGGGCACCCATCAAAAGATCTCTGGGATAAAGTTGGGGACAGGCACAAGCCAGGAGATGGATACAAAAAAAAATACAAAGGCTTTAATAATGCCTAAAGGCACAGTGAAGTCTATTATTAAGAAGTGGAAGGTATTTTGTAC